CGCGGTCACCCCGCCTGCGTCGTGCTCCTCGGCCCTCGGCTCCCCCCGAGACACACCTGCGCGGTCACCCCGCCTGCGTGGTGCTCCTCGGCCCTCGGCTTCTCCCGAGGCACACCTGCGCGGTCACCCCGCCTGCGTCGTGCTCCTCGGCCCTCGGCTCCCCCCGAGTCACACCTGCGCGGTCACCCCGCCTGCATCGTGCTTCTCGGCCCTCGGCTTCTCCCGAGGCACACCTGCGCGGTCACCCCGCCTGCGTCGTGCTCCTCGGCCCTCGGCTTCTCCCGAGACACACCGGCGCGGTCACCCCGCCTGCATTACGCACCTCGACCCACGTCGGCCCCATTACCCCCGAGTCCAATCCTACTCAACCTCCCGACTAAATCGCACGTCTCGGCCTAGTGCTGCCCGAGATGCATTCACGCGACCGACCTGTATATGGCGTGCCCCTCAGACCAGCCTGAACAACTCGCTCAAAGCAGAAAGCCATGCATCAGACTCCCTACCTGCAAAACCGACGCATAGCTCCTTTCGGGTGGGGCATATGATAGGGGTAAAAAAGCTGATTTGACATAACACCCCGAATTTGACGTAATGCACCCCCACGTCGGACACCCTGAGCGGCGTACGGCTCCTGAACGGGCATTAACGACGACACGACGCGCACCTACACCCACCATACCCAAGCAACCTCCTCGGCCGACCCCTCGCGGCCGGCCAAGGCAGGAGAAGGCGCTGTCTGACACCCCCCATGCCCTGCGGTAGCTCGGCCTTCCACGCAACGACCACAACGACAGACGCCATCAGAGGTACGGCCCCACCCCGGAAGGATGGCACGTCAGGTAACATCAAATCCACTTATAAATACCCCCTGGCTCCCAACAGAGGGGGGGGACCTCACAAAAACACTCCATTCTGCTTCACTGACTTGATCGTCGGAGGGGCTGGGCCGAGCTACCGACCCGACCTGTGTGCAGGTACTCGACCGCTGCTCGATCCGCTCGACGCCACGGAACTTTCTGGCCAGCAACCTCCGTGGCTGCCAACGCAACATCCCAAGGGGATCAACGTCTGATCCCAATCATTTGGAGCCCTGAACCAACCGCGTCGACCCCGAGGTCACGGCTAAAGAAGTTATAACACGTAGCAATTTATGGCACCAACTTAGAATTATTACCCTCAACAGTCTGTGCAACGGGACTTTGAATGATGGCCGCGATTTGTTGTTATCCCTCCTCCATCATGATTCACGAGTGTGTTCTTAATTGACGTATTCCGCTTCATTAATTAGAATCCGATGAGCATTTACTCTTCTCCTTTCCCCCGCTCGAGCCTAAGTCGAGGGTAGCTGATCCCGACGAATTAGGCGGTATTGGATTCGGACGAATCCGATTCCTTCCTCGATGCCCTCCCTCTACCGGGCTTTTCCATGTCACGCGGGGCCCATATTTATACCAGATGGCCTGACACAGGCTTTTGATTGGACCCACCATGTCGGATGGTGCCGCTGGGGATGCCAAAGAGCCGCGTCTTGGCCATCTCGTACGTATGTCGGAATCGTCCGTCGAGGCTCGTGAATTGTGTTTAATTTTGATCTCGACAAGCTTGTTACGACATGATGGTACGTTCCAATACGATGAAAGCATCCCACATTTTGGGCACACGATGTTGGCGATGATCGCCGCAACATATCGAATCGGGACCGCTCGCTCGTCCTTGTGGATTCGTGCAGTTGTCTCGATCGATCCAGAACGTCGCTTCCGGCCTAAGCGTTTCGTGTTGCTTCCCTGCCCCACTCGGTCGTCGTCTTACTCTTCGCCTTCGGGTTTTTATTTATTTACCATATTGCCCTCCCCTTAGACCCGCCTCCTCCTCGCTCGTGTCCCGTCTTCCCCGTCGTTCCGGAGGAGAACCCGAAAGGGTTTTTCGGATCCTTCGGATCGCAGGAAGGCGGTCTCGGCCGGAAGCCCCGACCCCATCGCCATGACTTCCGCCAACGCTCCCATCGCCATGCGGGAAGCTCTCACGGTGAGTGAACCGAGCAACACCTCTCTCGATTCCTCTTCGCCGTTATTCTTCTTCACTTGATTGTTGTCACTCCTATTACACGGCTCGAGTTGGGGCTTCGCAACTTTCATGATATTAATTTGGTCTTGGGGATGGTATCAATGTCGAATTATGCTACCCATCGTGTGGGTTCTGTGAGGAGTTCTTGCTCTTGTCTCTGCGCGCTGATCTTGTTGTTTGAAGAGATAAAACGAGAAAGAGTTCGGAGTAATTTACTGCATCGGTTCAAGCCGTTGGTTTTGACGAGTGTTTGTTTTGATGTTAGCTTCCCAGTCTCGGAATCAATCCTCAATTCATCACCTTTACGCATGTGACCATGGAATCGGACAAGTACATCTGCGTTAGGGAGACATCTCCGCAGAACAGCTTGGTAATCGTCGATATGAGCATGCCCATGCAGCCGTTGAGGAGGCCGATCACGGCAGACTCAGCTTTGATGAATCCCAACGCCAGGATTCTGGCTCTTAAAGGTTTTTTTTCCTTTACCTTCCTGTTTATGATTTTACAATTCCTTGTTGTAGTTTCATTTTTATCTTTATTTCTTTTTTACCGTTTTTACTCCCATATTTTTTCTTTCCCGTTGCTTCAATGCGTTTCTCACCTTTAGCTGTATCTGTTCATTTTTTAGTGCTTTAATAAACATAAATCTTATGCTTAATGCACATTGTATTAGATAATTAATTCCATCCTGACTAAAGGATTTACTTAGTTGTAGAATTGGTAAAAACTATTATTTTACACTGTTTCTTCTATGGATGTCTCTGTGCTACTGGATAACAAATGAGTTACAAGCATAACCAGTTGCTGTTCCGTTTGATGTGATATGATTTAATTATGTAAATGAAACCAAGAAACATCAAATTTTCATGAGTCAATTCATTGCAACACACAATTCAATAGAACAAAGAAAAACCATTTATTTTTGCTAATCTTAATTTAGAATTTTGGTATATCTGCAAGCATAAAAAAAAGATTAACACATCAAATTTGTACTAATCATACTCAATTCAAACTGGAAGCAGGTTCAATATACAAACAAAAAGAACTACAAACAAAGAAAAAAGCAAGTAAACCTATTCCAAGCACTCTCAATGTCCTCAACATTTTTGATCTATTGGAATCAAATACTCTTTTTGATATTGATAATGGGGAGATCCTCTTTTTTTTTTTTTTGCTGTTCTCTATTCTTTCTTCCTTCTGCTGCCATGTAGAACACGATCTAGGAACTATTGGAATGGAGATATCCTAAGATTGTCAACTTTTTTTTTAATGTATATAGGTATTTGAGCAACACATATTATCCAAGCCACATTAAACCCACTTGATATAATTTGAGGTGGGTTGGGCTGCACGGTCATTTGCGTGAGGCCTACAGTTAAAGGTGCTTTTGGTGGGCGTATCCATGTCGGACATGTGTTGAACACAAATACGTCGTCGACACGGTCGAACACATGTCTAGCTGTGCCTTTTTTATTTATTTTTATTTTTTGGACACGACATTACTCTCGAGTGCTTCGTTGTGTGGTGTTCGCGTGCGACGCTGAGCTCACATGGCCCTCACGCAAGAGCCATTTGCCTTGTGGAGATAGGTTGTCGGCATGAAATCTTGTGATTCTTGGAGGATTTCTTGCCACAATTGCATGGCCCTCTATCGTCGATAGTTACTAACCGATTCATTTGCAAGGTGTGCAACAAGGGGTTCCAACGGGAGTAGAACCTATATTTGCATCGACAATGCCTCTTGCCCTAAGCCCACTTGTGTCCATGACCACTTGGATTCTAATGAGGTGTGCATTGTATTTTGATGTACCTTTACCCCGAGCCTAGTTTCATCCACTACAATCTATCACGCGCCCTCGGCGACGTCATGAGCAAAGCCATTGTCTCACCCCAAACTAGCATCGCGGGAATCCGATCTCATCGTGTCCACTCGGAAACTTGATTTGTCACATAATGTATGCATGTCATGTGTCAAGTTATCACTCGGGCGTGGCGTGATCACCCCTGTTGAAGGGGAGGCCGAGCGGAGAGCGATAGTAGAGGAGGGGGAGGAGGAGAAGCTCGAACGGCTCCCTCTTCCTTCTCGCTTTTGACACAAGTTAGCTATTGTCATCATTGTGGTTAGGAAATGGAATCTACATCTTTTAATTGGGGTTTCATGCTTATTTGTTTGCTTAGTATACTTTCTTCACTCTGCTGCCATAAAAGGTCTTCTTTTGATGATATATGTGATGATCCTTACATTTATGATATTTGATGAGACAATATTGACTATATTCTTTATTTCACTAGATCTATTTATGATATGCTTCGATTTTATGACACAAATTAATCAAGTCTTCATTTAGTATATGACATGTACAATAATATGATTGAGAATGTGAAAGAAAAAAAATATAGACATGAAGGAACAAAATCAGATAAATCTTCATCCTTTTTTGATGTAATTTTCCAAATTCTTACTAATTTTTGGACAAAGAATAATACTCCACCTTATTGATTGAATTATTCATTAAAACCTAAGTGTCTACTATTTTTTTTAGTGATATTTTTCACATAATTAGGTATATTTATAAAATTATATATTTTTATTTGTTATTTCGGATATTATTATCACGACCCGAGCCTGATGGGCAATTAGCCTATCATATCTAAACAAAATCAAATATGATGCTAGTTCTTTGCTAAAAATGTTATGTACTGATGTTTTATCTTTGTATACATAGTTCGCATTATCGGTCTCTACTAGTGTACCGATCAGTTGTTGGTATGGTATGTACCAAGCTATACTAAGTTGTACCAACACATTGTCACGAACAGTCGTCGCGCACCCACAACAACTCCGTTCAACGAACCGTTCTGTCACGGACTTAACTGGTTTTGCCTAAGTCGTGCGGCACCCTTGCGTGTCCGTCCGCAAAGGTTAGCCTCCCCGAAGCCTCCCATTGTCCCTTAGGACCACCAAAAGAGAGAACGAGTTAGAGAGAACGCCTCAATCGGGATCCACAAGCAAACATCTCCGAAAAACACTTCATAGACAATGCAAATTACCAACAGACTTTACAAGCTCTGAACAGTTGCACAACAAAGGGTAGAATGGTCCATTACAGATCGAAAATCTCTCACACGTGTCCACATGACACAACCTTTATTTACAAGCCTAAAGAGGCCACCAACCCAACTAAAATGGGACTATTATGCCTTCGACCGCCCCTCTACATGCTGTACAAGGCATGAACATGCCAAAAGACACGGACATACATAAGCATTACATCAAACATCCCGTTTCGAAGTTTGTCCGTGACATTCTCCCCCACTTATTCCTTCGACGTCCTCGTTGAAGCCTTTGTCGACACTGCAACTCCTCGCCTTTGCTGAGTCTTCAATCTTCTGCTCCAGCTACAATGCGCCTCTTGGCTCCTAGCTGCTCTCCGCTGTTGTTTTTGAGTAGTCGAACCTTTGATCCGCCATGCTGCTTCAACTCACCAATGACTTTGACTCTGGTGTGGGGTTGGCTGAGTTGTGTTGATCCTTGTTGATTCCTGAGGATCCGCCAGATGAAGGAAAAGACCATCCTTACTACGCCAGTCTCTCAAATTCCTCATGCTGCTTGAACTGGGTGGATGCTTGTTGGAGCTTTAACGAGCATCGTCTCGCAAACTTCTGAAGTTTTGGGTCCTTCCTCCAC